GGGGAAGACAGCCTAATATCGAATAAACGCCTAATTTTCGATACTGCATTATCATAAAATCCGTTAAACGTAACATGTAAAGATCCTAGCTAAATCATATAACTGGAGTGTTGTAGGTGATATGTAACAAAGACTAAAAAAGGAAAATAGAAAGTTAGCATAGGAAAAAGGAAACTGACAACAATATTTTAAACATGTTTGAAACAAAAGAAAGACTACTAAATCTGAGATATTTTTGTTTTAATATTGCTGGACTTTCACCATAGAAGGCATGCCTTATCTTTTGTTTCCAAAGTTAGGAACCCAAGGTCAAAAACAAAAATTAGTATTTACGTAATTTTTTGTTTTAAAAAACACACCGTCAACTTTAGAAGCCGTTTACTTAAATTGGAAGAAGTGGACGATTTTAATTTGCCAATTTTTTATGTTCTTGAGCAGTAAGGGATGATGAAGGACTATCCTTATCGCACAAAAGTCTGACACTTCATAAAATTGTAATGATATCATATAAGTAGATGCTATTAGATATCCTTTTATTTAATTTTAATGCACCCGGCTCATATTTTAATGTTAAAAATAAAATAAATGTAGATTTTGCTATAAGTACATAAAAAAAATTGTTATGGCTAACTTTACTCGGGTTAGCACGTAGGAATTCGCATATTAAAGCGTTATGCATTAAAAGCAATGTGTGTGTGTGTGAGGTTTTATTAGGAAACGTAAAATTTTATTTTACTCGCCGCTTTTATTTTCTCGTTGACGGGGGATGTTTTCCAGAATTGAGGATATCGAAAAATTTTCTAGCTTTCGAGTTATTCAATTTGCGGGTGCAACGGTGTAGAACCGATTTGGAAGTGGTAATATCGAGATATAAAGACGCTCAGGGGTCCTTATAGCGACTCGACTTTGACGTGAAAATCGCTCTGTATACGTGAGTTATAGAATTACAACTTTCGCACTAAAGTCAACCTTTTAAAGGATTTTATTAAGAAAAATTTTACGGTTCGCCAGAGCGGCTATTTCCAACGGATATGAAAGCATTTTTCCATTCTAATAGGGACTATCTAGAAATATAACTTGAAATAACAATTGAGAGTCGATAAGGACATGATTTTCAAGTGTAATTTTTTACTGTAATTGAAATTTGAAAGTGTATTGTATAAATATTGAACGGTTAGCATAAATGTTTATAAGAGTTTCGCTCCTAAATACGTAAAATACCTAATTTTTTTTATCCTTCGGGAACAATATTTTTTTTCTGCACCCCTAACAATGTGTGTACAAAATTTCATGATAGGTTTTACTCGCGTCTTCACTAAATATGTGTTAAAGATCATCAACGATCAAATAAAACTATTTTTTTCTGTCCCTCGGGAACTATATTTCCTTTCTGGATAAAAAGTACCCTATATCCTTTTCTAATCTCCTAACAATGCGTGAACAAAATTTTATGATGATCGGATGGGAGGTTAAAGCGTGAAATGGTAACAAACCAACAAACTCAAATTCGAATTTCTAATATTATTTAGAATAATGATTTTTGAGAAATCCTTTTTTGTCTAAACTCAATAATTCCAGAAATAGTTTTCACGGGCTTCATATAACCTTAAAAGGAAACGCTACAAAGGATTTAAGGATTAATATTAAAACCAGAAGCAGACTTATGAATATCGACAAAGCTCTAAACAAAAACTCAGGCAGAATAGAACTCGTTGACCAATATTGAATGTCTATTAAGAAAACTAAAAGCCTGTGAAAAGGTTTTGCTAACAGCATCCACAAATGTGCATTAAAACGTATCTATATCTATAGTGGGATGACAATGAACCTTCTTCCATTGTTTTAGTTGTGGTTTTATGGCGGACGTGCGATGTTACTTGTTCTGGTGCTTGAAGTTTCGCAGACAATTTAGCAACAAATGCCGCTAGAGTGTTTCGATGTTAAATAATTAAATTAGCGAGTTTTGTTAACTTTACCACGCGTTTTAACGATAAATTCGCCTCTCCGAAAGTTAAAATACATGGCATTAGTTAGTCTGCAGTTTAGTCCTTCGCTCCATTGACTTAAATTACTTCGTACCTTTTACTACAAGAGAGACAGAGAACAACGAACATTTTGCTACCGAATCTCAAATCCTTTTTGTTTTCCCTAAATTCAGTTAGTTTATTTATCGAAAATGTAGTCCACCATCATCATTTGTTGTTTTACGTTTTTACTTAATTAATTGCAATGTTAAAATCGTTGTCGTTTTATGTTATGTGTAGCTTTAACATTTGGGAAAACAACATTTTCCGAACGTAATAACGCGAAGCAAAATAGAAATGTGATCTTCCACTAATGTGGTTTTTCTTGAGAAAACGCGCCTGCTACTGTTTCTCATTTAATGGCACAACCATAAAATTCTTTTCGTTGCTTAGCGCGTTTTTAAGGAAACGATAAAATAAGAATTCCGGGCTTTATTACCGCACTTACTGGGAAAATTTGAATAAGTACGAGCATTCACAAAATGAGTTACCTATCTCGGATAATCCGGCTCCATTGTAATACCTAAATGACATGCTAGGCATCTAATACACCTCCGAGAGAATAATATTCTCAGATTTTCCAATCGAATTTCCTAAAGATACAGATTATTCATGAAGAAGTGGGAGAATCCCAAGATGAGTGATTTCTTCCATATACATCTACTTAGGTGCATATTTTATAAGTACATATCTCTATACCACAGCTTTAATCACTCCATTTAACTTCAACTTTATTGATTGATGTAGAGGAAAGTGAAATATATGCCACAAAATCAAGTAAACAAATACATTAAAGACAAAAGACTATAGCGTGTAGATATTATATTCTTTTGTTTCGATTATTAATGAAAACAATCAAGAATCGTTCAAGACAATTGACGTGCGGATTTCATTTGTTGATGCATAAACGACTAGGGGCGTAGACTAAAGAGGGACGATAAATTTTCGTGGCGAAAACCTATTAGACGTCTAATTGAAACAAAAGCGCGAAATTTCGTCTATTGTTGTCGTGCAATAATTGCATTGTTATGTATTGTGTGCATTCTGGCCTGGCCGAGGCAATTAAGAACGTTGGCGCAGCCTCTCGAGAGCGACTATCAAAGATTTGCTCGCGCGCTTATCTGCAACTTTTCTCTAAATGTTCCGATAAATTTCCGGGGTGCGCTACAAAAGCTAAATATTCCGCCGCAATTTAAGTACTAGAAACGGATTTGAGTCTTGACATGTTGCACCACTTACTTCGGTAATTGCCTACGGATAGCACGTTGCTCAAATTAAATTTGAAACGACACACGAGAATGCCGCTCGAGGTGCTCACTGATGGTTAACGAAAATTAGAAAAGATCCTCGAAAACGTTTTCGGAATTTCACTTCGCGTTTCACGTTCCTACATCTCTGTACGGGCCAATTAGCCAATAACATCCATTACCCTGCTTAAAACGAAATATAGGTACAACGTTAGTTAAGAAAAACAGGATGACTTTTGAAACATCTTTTTCAAACGGTTCGTTTTTCTTAACTACATTCAGTTTCATCAAAAAGCATTTATTATGTTAACAATAGATAATTGTTATTAACGATTTAGTATTTGGGAAGTGACAATAATATAGAAAAAGTCAAATTAGTACTTGGCAGCATTATTTTTGCTAAAATACATAGAAAGACAAACAAAAAAAAGCGCTCGTGAAATCACTAGAAGATGGAAGGTATTTGCCAAAATTCGAGAGGTTATAATTATGTAAAAAAGTACGTAGAATCTCATGGTACCAATGGTTTTCGAGTGCGGTGTCAAATTAGTACTTTGTGGCATTACTTTTTGCTAAAATATATAGAATAACAAACATAAAAAAGCGCTCGTGAAATCACTAGAAGATGGAAGGTATTTGCCAAAATTCGAGAGGTTATAATTATGTAAAAAAGTACGTAGAATCTCATGGTACCAATGGTTTTCGAGTGCGGTGTCAAATTAGTACTTTGCGGCATTATTTTTGCTAAAATATATAGAATAACAAACATAAAAAAGCGCTCGTGAAATCATTGGGAGATGGAAGGTATTTGCCAAAATTCGAGAGGTTATAATGATGTAAAAAAATACGTAGAATCTCATGATACCAATGGTTTTCGAGTGCGGTGTCAAATTAGTACTTTGTGGCATTACTTTTTGCTAAAATATATAGAATAACAAACATAAAAAAGCGCTCGTGAAATCACTAGAAGATGGAAGGTATTTGCCAACTTTTGAGAGGTTATAATTATGTAAAAAGGTACGTAGAATCTCATGGTACCAATGGCTTTCGAGTGCGATATCATATAGGTACTTTTCGGCGTTATTTTTGCTGAAGTAAAATAATTTACAAAACGCTGGTGATATTTATGAGCACACGGAATGTATTTACTAAACTCTGAGATCTAGCGCTTTGTACAAATGTGAATTTATTTTATGCAGTGTTTGATATGTCCCATTGATTTTCCTGTTAATATGATTAATTCCTCCACGTTTACCATCAATCATGTTTGCTGATTTATAATTCATTTGACTTGAAAAGCCATTTAAACCAAATATTGTATATAATGTAGCAACGAATTAAAGCCAATAGTTTTTATAATCGTGCGAAAATTAATTCAATATATTTCTAATTCATTGTTTTCGTGCAAATTTACATGTAAATATGCTATTCTGCTACTCGTAATAATACCTGATTATTAATTAGTAAATTCTAACCAATACTAACAATAACTGAATACTGTATAGAATTGGATTCCAATTTCTGCTTATCATTATCAAATACGAGCAGTTATTCCCATATTTTCGTAACTAAAATTGTTAAAAGTTATTTAAAAAAGGCGCTCAAATAAAATCGCGATGGCCGCCGTTGTTGCTATAGTAACTGACGGCGGCCATCATTGAATTTCTATCTTAGCCAATCACGTTAGAGCAACGAATTTGACAACTTCACCTAATCATAACCCTATTTTACAAATATTGTCCTGTTTTTATTTTTCTGGATTTCTGTGTGCTTAAAACGGCTTTACTAATTTCGGTAACTTATTTTATATTAGACACATAGAGCTCTTTAAATTATTAATCGAACACGATAAGAAGTTTGACGGTAACGAGTTAAATGTTTTTGCTGCTTAGTAGGAAGTGAAGTTTCATAAGTTAAATTATCATTAAATGGGAGTGGATGTACAATAAGAATGAAGTGCACAATCTCAGAAATATCGTGGCATAATAGGGATCCTATTTTAAGTGTAGATATTCAGCAAAATTCCAGTGATACGTTTATTAGTTTAGCAACCGCCGGTGCTGATTATCACATTTTTGTAAGTTTTTCAATGAATTTTTATAGAATAAACGCTTAAACTGTAATATTAATTAATTGCTTATTTAGGTTACAATGATACTTATAGAATTTCTGCTTATCATTAACAAATATGAGCAGTTATTCTCATATTTTCGTAACTGAAATTGTTAAAAGTTATTTAAAAAAGGCGCTCAAATAAAACCGCGATGGCCGCCGTTGTTGCTATGGTAACTGAGGGCGGCCATCATTGAATTTCCATTTTCAGCCAATCACGTTAGAGCAACGAATTTGACACTTAACCTAAATCATAACCCTATTTATTTGGTTTTAAATGATTTTACAAATATTGTTGGCCTGTTTTTATTTTTCTGGATTTCTGTGTGCTTAAAAAGGCTTTAATAATTTCGGTAACTTATTTTATATTCGATGCACAGAGCTCTTTAAATTATTCATCGAACTGTGTACATCGAACACGATAAGAAGTTTGGCGGTAACGAGTTAAATGTTTTTGCTGCTTAGTAGTAATTGAAGTTTAATAAGTTAAATTATCATTAAATAGGAGTGGATGTACAATAAGAATGAAGTGCACAATCCCAGAAATATCGTGGCATAATAGGGACCCTATTTTAAGTGTAGATGTTCAGCAAAATTCCAATGAAACGTTTATTAGGTTAGCAACAGCCGGTGCTGATTATCACATTTTAGTAAGTTTTCTTACGAATTTTTACAAAATAAACGTTTAAACGGCATATGGTAATTAATTGCATGTTTAGGTTACATTAATTAATAAGTTGTCATTCAAAATTTAACAAATCAGAGGTATTGTAAAGGTGTTTCTTTGTCTCTTACAGATCTGGCAAGTTTTAATAGATGAATGTAGCAAAACTAATCTGGAAGCAATCAGTGACCTAACAAGACATCAAAGGCCTGTTAACATTGTTCGGTGGTCTCCATCAGGGCAATATTTGGCATCAGGTGATGATGATGCAAACATAATTATTTGGCAACTAAAGACAGATAGCATTCCTTCATTGGATGGTGAAACCAATGACAAAGAAACTTGGAATGTCTTCAAGGTATTTTGTTCTTCGTTTTTATTATTAATATGACTTATGTTAGTTTATGTTCAAAGATATTCCGAGGGCACAAAGAAGACGTTTACGATTTGTGTTGGTCTCCAGACAACTTAAGATTAGTGTCAGGATCTATAGATAATACCGCTATCATTTGGAATTTGGGAAAAGGCAAGAACGAGCACATTTTTGCAGAGTCCAAAGGGTTTGTGCAGGTATTTTAATATTTAGTGAAAACAAATTAATTCAGAAAGTTAATTATTTTTTTTATTTACTAAAGGGAGTTTCCTGGGACCCAAAAAACCAATACATTGCTCTGTTAAGCAGTGACAGGGTCTGCAGGGTAGCAGACCGCATTACAAAACAAATCAAGTTTAAGTCATTTAGGGGACATCTGCCAGTCCCAGAATCTCACAGTTTATATGAAAAGGATGTCAAGTATTTTCACGATGATACATTCAAATCATTCTTCAGAAGACTGAGTTTCTCACCAGATGGTAACTTGTTGGTAGCACCATCTGGATGTATTGAATCAGAAGACTGCCGAAGATACTTAAATGCCACATACATCTACACAATGGACTCCTTATCAAAGTAAGAAATTAAAATATACTTTTGTATCCTCCTTTGGTCATGTATTGGCATCCTAGAGCGTTTGTGGTACTTTCCTAAGTCTATTTTTTTTTGACAAAACAAAATATACATTTTAGACCTGTGGCTGTTCTCCCCTTGACAAAACAAAGTTCGATTGCGGTACGTTTTTGTCCAGTATTTTTCGAGCTTCGATCTGAGGGCCCTAAACCATTCATAGATCTTCCTTATCGTATGATTTTTGCTGTTGCAACAGATAATGATGTTATTTTGTATGACACCCAACAAATGACACCCTTTGCAATCCTCCAAAAAATACACTACACCCGATTAACCGACTTAACTTGGTCTGCTAATGGAACCTTACTTATTGCATCGTCGACTGATGGTTTCTGTACCATCGTCACGTTTGATGAGGGAGAATTGGGGCTGCCGTATACCCTGGAAGAGAGTGAACCTGAGGAAAGTCCTCTTGATGTACCTGAGAATGAGAAAAAAGAAAAAGATATCGAGAGGCCTACAGCTGTTAATGTTCTTCAGGTAAAAAGGAAAAAGGTTGAAGATGCTAAACCCAAAAAAATGAATCTGTTAGAAAATTGGGCTATCAAAAATAACTATTCTGAAAAATCTAAAGAAAAAAGTTCTGAAGAAATTGTAGAGGAAAAAAATAGAGTTAACATTATTCAACCCAAAAGGACTAAGCCTGAGTCTGAAGAAGCATCAGAAGCCTCTAAAGAAAGAAATAGAGAAGAAAATAGTAAAACGCTGAATGATACCGAATGCAAAATTGTAAAAGGAAAACATGAAGGAATTAACGTTCTTCAACCAAGAAGAAAGAAAAGTGAAGAAAAAGCACTATCTAAAGTGCCTGTAGTTGAAGAAACACCAGAAGTATTTAAGGAAAGAAATGCTAAAACGTTAAATGATAATAAATGTGTAACTTTAGAAAGAAAATTTGAAAGAATTAACATCCTTCAACCCAAAAGGAAAAAAAGTGAGCAAAAGGAATCTCCTGAAGTGCTTGTAACTGAAGAAACATCAGAAGCACTAAAGAAAAGAAATGCTGAAGAAAACTGTATAACGTCGAAGGAAGAGAAATTTAAGACAATTAACATTCTACAACCCAAAAGGAAAAAGACTGAAGAAGCAACGTCGTCTGCATTAATTGTAACTGACGAATCAGAAAAATTAAAAGAAACAGATACTGAAAAAGCAGATAAGACGTTAAATGAAAATAAAAGTAAAACTGTAGGAGAAAAATCTAAAACTATTAGCACTCCTCAACCTAAAAGAAAAAAGTCTGAAGAAACGGCGACGTCTGAATTAATTGTAATTAAGGAAGCATCAGAAGGTGTTGCAGAAGAAGACAAAACAAAAAGTAAAATTGAAGGAAAACTTAAAAAAATAAACATTCTTCAACCCAAAAGAAAACATACTTCATCTGAAGAAACACCAAAAGAGCTTAAAGAAAGGAATACTGAAGGAGCAGGTAAATCAATAAATGACAATAAATGCACAATAAAAACGGAAAAATCGAAAAAAATAAACATTCTTCAACCCAGAAGAAAGACTGATAAATCTAAAAAGAATGAAGTTGAAAAGAAAAGTAAGGAAGAAAACACAGAAAATAGCAAACCAAGAAAATCCAATATTTTGGAACAGTGGACGTTAAAGAAGCCTAAGTAAAATTAACATAAAAAGAACACTTCATCTTAAGGAGTGTCTGTAACGATGTAATTGAAAATTTCTCCAACAACTTGAAGACAAAAAAAACAACCCTGTTAGAGTAGTAGCCAATGAAAAGAATCGAGAATTAAAGGAAATTATGGGGTAAAGTACAAATTGTTTAAGGAACAAAAAGCATTTAATAAGTTTTTTAAAACGGGAAGTAATTAAATCAATCTCAAAAAGGGCTTTGCAAAAGGTTGTAAATATTATCTGTTTTAAAAAACTTATTA